AATTGGCATTGTACATTATATTATAATTGTATATTATAATTTTTTCACCCATTAAAATGGATAAATGGTATTCATTTCTATTAAGTCAATTTTTCTGTTTTCTATGCATATTTAGTTATTATGTATTTGTGTGCAGTGAATCATATGAAAACTATCTTTATTCATTAGTTGGAAATACAACAGATTAAAACATTGTATGTGTACAAATATGTGTTTCCTCCTACTGTATATGTATATATAATAGCCGACTATTATAACTTTCCAATTTCACCCGACTATTAGAGCAGCTAGCCAATCCCTGTTGAGGACATCTGCTCAGGCACATTTGTCTTTTTTCAATAAACATGGAGTCAGTAATCAGTTTATACTGTAACTATGTTGTGTGGAACTTAATTACTGTATCTGGGCGAGTTCACTTATTGTGTCAGGATGAGTATTTTGAACATCGTCAGTAAAGTTAAAACTCTTCGGCATGATGAGTTGCGAGTTCGTGCAAGCACAACCATTGACGGATGTTTCGTATACTAAGTTTCACTCACATGTCTTGGGTCAAACACTTTTCCATATCTTAGTTATATCGAAGATCAGTGGTCATTTTCAAAAATATTACACAAAATTTCGGCAAGTTACTTTACAGGTATACACATATCAAACCATTTAATTGGCTGTAGGGGAAATTTATCATATATATATATATATATATATATATATATATATATATATATATATCCAAAAGAAGTTTATACATAGGAGAGTCTTGCATGATCAGCAGTAATAGTGACTGTTTAAAAATCGTTCCTTACTCCTCACAGTGCTCGACCGATTAAATTATTTTATCGAGAGCTAATATCGTCATTCACAGACAGATTGTTTCGCTGTATCACAGAGAGCCTACCAAAAAATGTACATACATTTCAGGAAAGGAAAAACTTGTATAGATATTGCAATACTAGATTTATTCAGACCTCACGAGTTTAATACAAGTTACCTTTGGACTCTAGAATCACAAGAGATGCTCAAAATGGTGGCCCATCCTAGGTATGACGATAAACTATATCCGCGTCCTGGGTAAGACGATAAACTACGTCGAACAGCAAGGCCTCTGATCACGATGTTTTGAGGATCGTGGAACCACCTCTTAATTGCTGGCGTTCCCAGGTCCACCTGTTAGGGTTACAGCTATGGGCAAATAGTTGACACTATATGCAGCAATCCCAAAATATTTCTGGTATTAAAACCTATTTTTACACAAGATTGTAATAGGTTTTAATACCAGAAATACTTTGTAATAAAAAAAATATTACCAGCAATAATTTTTGAAGGAAAAATTATTATCAGCAATACTTTAAAAAGAAAAAGTACTAACAATGAAAACAGCTATAAATTCTTTGAAGAAAATATGACCCGCTATAGATTTCTTCAAGGAAAAATATTCCCAGAAATAGATTTTTGAAGAAAAACATTACCAGCAATAAAAATTTTGTCGGCATTAAATAACCCATTGAGGTTGACATGCCGTAAAACAAACCAAACCAAACCGAAATGGTGACCTTTAGCTTCGAGACATTTATTTGTACGACGAACTATTGCAACGTTGTCAAAGTGCTCAGTGGGATTGCTGCACACGCATTTTCAATTTCCTGCCTAAGGGCTGCCGGTATAGTCAGTTTTCTGCAGCAATGACTGTTGAGAAAATACTACACACATAGAGTAAAAGTATTTTACAGATATTTATATATATATATATATATATATATATATATATATATATATATATATATATATATATATATATGCATGTTTCATTAAAAACGACACACAAGGTACTACGGTTGAGTTTTTTATTTATTTTTTTCTTGTGTTCTGACAAGAGCTTTCTTTTCTGGACAAAGGCTGTTTAAGAACTGTCCGAATGTCTTATTTTTCCGAGCGCTTTTGGCTATACCTTTAGATGATTCGATTTTCAGTTTAGTTGAGTGTGTGCGTTCTGTGTATGTATCAGTGTGTGGTAGGTATGTTTTTAATTTCCGAATACGTTTAGCACATTGTGATTTTGTTCGTAGTTAATATTGTTAAGAGTTGGCTTTTTTTTTTATTATTAAAGCTTCCATTATTTTTAGTCATTTTTGCAAGTGGATGCAGTTAATATATTTGTGTTTTCTACTAGTATGTTCCTAATGGTGTCAGGTAAATCTGAGTGTGTGTTTAAATGGGTTCTGATGGAACTGCGAACAGATAGGTGTAACGTAAGACGTCTGGAGTCCGGTTTGGTCAGGAATGTAGTTCCTTAAAGTGCATTTGAACTCATAGATAATGTTCGTTCTTTGTAATTTTGATTTAGTTGGTGTGTTGTTATTTTTGAGGATAAGCTTGGCTGTCTTAAATTTTTTATCATAGATAATTAATTTGATTTTTATATTCGGATCAATAGGAGTAGTATATTTCTTTATAATATGCCTTAGAGAAGATTCGTCTTTGTAATTAATATGCATTTGGTTTTTGTAATAAATGTGTATGTGATTTTTGGCTGTGTGTTCGCTATCGTTATTACTTGCTTTGGGGAGGAATAGTCTAATTTGTTGGTCTATAAGGTATATATATATATATATATGTATGTATGTATGTATGTATGTATGTATGTATGAATGTATATGATACTCTGTCCAAGCTTACTCTATACCCCTATTTGGACCGTTAGACATATGAGCCATCCTGGGTATGACGATAAACTACATCCGCGTCCTGCGTAAGACGATAAACTACATCCGGCATCAAGGCCTTTGATCAGAAAAACATTGAAGAACGTTGAACCACTTCTTAATTGCTGGTGTTCCCAAGTCCACCCTGACTCGGGGTAGTAGCACCTATCAGAGTCCCAGCTATGAGAAAATAGTTTATCCCCTTCCAAAGGGATTAAAACAGTATGAAAATATAAAAATAGGTATTAATACCAGAAATACTTATTGGGTGATTTTTTTTTACTAGGAATCAGTAAGTTATGTGCCATACGTGATACACGCTTAGGCGATCATCTATCTTTCGATAGATGACTGACGAAATTTTTTTTTGATATTTAGGTTGCCATTTCTCTCTGCGGTAGACCAGTTGCCATCCAAGGCTATAGAACCCGGTCTGTTCTACTATTTACCCATAGCTGGGGGAAAGAAGAGGATCCATAAAAATTCCCAAGGGTATTAGCACGTTGTTATTTTGAATGTAATGGATTCAACTGGAATTCGAACTCGGTTATCCGTTATCTCATTTCTCAACGCCATATGTTACACCACCCGCACATCCTCTCCAATGAAATGGAGGTAGTAGTAGCAGTATAGTATTTCAATGAACAAACAGTCTCTCAGTTATGTGCCATGCGTGATACACGTTTAAGCGATCATTTTTCAATACATGACTGATGAGGCAGATTTTTTCCTGCAGTAGGTTGCCATTTCTTTCTGCGGTAGACCAGTTGCCATCCAAGGCTATAGAACCCAGTCTGTCCTGCTATTTATCCATAACTGGGAGAAGAAAAAGAGGATTCATACCTTTCTCAGGGGTATTAGCACGTAAGTGAATGTAATGGATTCGACTGGAATTCGAACTCGGCTCACTCTATTACCCCATCGTGCCTCCTTTTCTGAGGGTTATGGCCATTTTATGAGTCAGTCAGTTATGTGTCATGCGTGATACAAATTATTTTGACGAAAGTTTCAGAATTTTCTCCCGCAATAGGTTGCCATTTCCTTTTGCAAAACCAGTTGCCATCAAAGACTATAGAACCCAGTCTGTCCTGCTATTTTTTGATAGCTGGGAGAAGAAGAGGATTCAAACATTTTTCCAAAAATATTAGCACGTAAGTGAATGTAATGGATTTGACTAGAATTCGAACTCGGCTCTCTGATTTCTCAATCCATTACTCCACTGTATCTCCTAAATAATTATAAACCCCTGAATATATACAAAAATACTCATAAAAAATGGGAACCAGCAAGATGTGGAAACAATAAAATAAGTCTTATTTATTATTTGGTTTTATTTTGGTGTTGTAGACACAAGAGACAGTAATCAGTCAGTTATGTGCCATAACAGTCTGTCTTTATTGTCTATTTACTCATAGGTGGGGGAGAAAAGAGGAATCATACCTTTAAAATGGGTACTAATTAAGTGAATGTAATAGATTTGACTGGAATTCGAACTCAATAAATCCATTACTCCAACGTTTTTATTTTTATGAGTTACGGTCATTTTATGAGTCAGTATGTTATGTTCCATGCGTTATACAAGCGTAGGCGATCTTTTTATACATGACTGACGAGGTAGATTTTTTTCCCGCAGTAGGTTGCCATTTCTTTCTGCGCTAGACCAGTTGCCATCCAAGGCTATAGAACCTGGTCTGTCCTGCTATTTTTACCCATAGCTGGGAGGAGAAGAAGAGGATTCATAACTTTCTCAAGGGTATTAGCACGTAAGCGAATGTAATTGATTCGACTGGAATTCGAACTCAGCTCTCCGATTCCACAATTCGAACCGCTATCCATTACTCCACCGTGTCTATTACCAGCAATATATTTTGAGAAAAAATGCTACCAATACATCTTGGGGGAAAAAATTACCAGAAATACTTTCTTGGAAAAAACTTATTACCAGCAATAAAAATCTTGTCGGCATTAAATAACCCATTGAGGTCGATATGCCGTAAAACAAACAAAAAAACATATAAGCATACTGGTGATTTTGTTTAGCCATTGGCTTATGAAAACACTGTATTATGCAAGAACGTTGAGCCGCCATAAAACAAAAAACTAAAAAAAAAAAAAAACTGACGCTGTTCCGATTTGAGACTTGGAAATTATGGTAAACCTACGTTTGTTAATTTACTGATTGCTATCTTCTTATATTCTTATCCATATATCTCTGCTGATCTGTTCATATTTGTCTCAGTCGCTCATTCCGTTGAAATTTATCGTCCTTTCTACTATTTGAATGCTAAAAACATATTCAACATGGCCGTTCATATTGACTTATCTAACGACTTCTTGTTCATCAGTCACTCAAACAATCTTTTACGTGATCTGTCTCATTATTTTGTCGACCTCTCCATCTTTTTCAGACAAGATTAATCAACATCAACAAATTATTTTATCACTCTGATTTCAAATTTCTTCATTAATCAACTCATTTCAGAACCTTTCACCACATCGCCTCTGACAATGTCCGTCAACGAATCATTGTTCATTCTTTCTTTCTTCCTTCCTTTCTTTCTTTCATTCTTTCTTTCTTTCTTTCTACGTTTTTATTCCTGCGCCTGTCGTTATATCTATTTAGCTATGTAACTATATATTTATCTAGTCTGTCTGTTCCTATCTATCTGTCTATCGCAATATGTTCATATCTATCTATCTATCCGTCTATCTATCTATCTGCTTTCTTTCTTTATTTCCACGTATGTCATTATATCTGTCTAGCTAGCTATATAACAATATATATTATCTATTCATTTTGCTCCTATCTATCTGTTTATCACAATATGTCATATCTATCTATCTATCTATCTATCTATCTATCTATCTATCTATCTATCTGCTTTCTTTCTCTATTTATTTCCACGTCTGTCGTTATATCTGTCTAGGTAGGTATGTAACTATCTAATTATCTACTCAATCTGTTCCTATCTATCTGTCTATCGCAACATGTTTATATCTATCTATCACAATACGTTGAAATATTTCTATATAAGTTTTTGCAGTCCCTATATTTTCTTTTTTCATTTTTCTTTCTTTTTCATTTTTTCGTTTTTCTTTTTTCTTTTTCTTACTTTATTTCTTTTCATGCCATTCCCTTCTTATCTGTCTGTTGCTAGGAAAGTTAATTCGTCAATTATCAGGGGATGTCCTTTTAAAATTTCTTTATTTTTCATTCACTGCCTTTAATTTCAAAGCTATCCAGATATTTCAAAAAATTATTGAATCTGTTTTCTCTTATTTATTTTTCATTCTATCCTATTTTATATATATATATATATATATCGTGCCTATGAACACTAATATGTATGTCCCAATCTTCATAAATACATTGGACACTATTGTAAGTGGGGGTAATATGCTGTATAAGTAGCCCCCCCCCCACTAGCAGTGGTTTACCTACTTCACGCCGCCGGCGAGTATTGTATTTTCTTGATGTTATAAAGATTACCATTTCATTTTCAACCTCCATTTTGATTATTCCTCATTCAGTAACCCTTTGTAGGTTACAACAATATATATATATATATATATATATATATATATATATATATATATATATATATATATATTATTTATTTAAAAATATGATTCCAACTCGCGACATAAGATGTCTCATGTTTCAAAAAACAAGAGCCGAAAACTTCAATATAATTATTTGAATTAAATTGAGTTAAAGTAAGCTCTGTTCCATCTTCAAGCGAAATTTTTTTTTGGAATAACTTATTTCTGAAATTTACGTGTTTTAATATTCATAATTGAAATCACAATTTCCATGGTAACAGCCAGGGCGAATTGTTTAAAATGGGTAGGGGTGTGTTGGGTGTTAATAATATGTATCAGTATAGAGTTATATTCATAGATGTCAAGTCAGGGTAAGGTGGGAGTGTCTAAATATGAAACATGAGACCTCTTATGTCACGAGTTGGAATCATATTTTTAAATAAATAATTATATTTATGCTCTACTTTTGTATCGAGCACTATTTTTTAAAAATAATAACAAAAATACTAAAGAACTTTGGATTATTTATCTAACGAGTTCTTTCCTATTTTCTATATATTTTCACACACACACACACACACATTTACATTACATATATATATATATATATATATATATATATATATATATATATATGCGGGAGGTAGTAGTAGGATAAAGAATCCGAATAAGTTTTTTGATAACGTGCCATAACTGACTCGGTAATGTTTAAAGCAATAAAAATCTGTAGGATTCGGATTAATAAATAAAAAAAATACTTCTTTTGGATATATATATATATATACTCGATGAATTAATTAAATAAAATTATCAAATCCTCCTAATAATTACTATCTGTGTTTATCATCGCTCGAACCGGCTTCTAATGCTCCAGTTAGAGCGGCTTGGTGAGAGTAGTCGTGGCTCCAGGGGGCACAGTCCTATGGTTACAGAGAACTCAGTGGAGTTCCGCCACGGAATATGTGAGCGAGCGGCGCTAAGTTGAGTATGATGTTCGCTTGACAACCTAACTGTCAGGGTTTCAATTCTCGGTAGTATAAGACGAAAAATGCCGTCCAGTGCGTTCTGCATTCTGTTGAGGTTTCTCTCAGACTCGATGAATTATATATATATATATATATATATATATATATATATATATATATATATATAAATGTGTGTGTGTGTGTGTGTGTGTGTGTGTGTGTGTGATGAATTTTTCCTACAGCCAATTAAATCGTTTGATATGTGTATACCTGTAAAGGAACTTGCCGAAATTGTGTGTAATATGTTTGAATATGACCACTGATCTTCGATATAACTAAGATATGGAAAAGTGTTTGACCCAAGAATATGTTAGTGAAACTTGGTATACGAAACATCCGTCAATGGCTTAAATTCACGAACTCGCAAAAAAATCATGCCGAAGAGTTTTAACTTTACTGACGATGTTCAAAATACTCCCCTGACACAATAAGTGAACTCCTTACAGATACAGTAATTAAGTTCCACAAACATAGTTACAGTATAAAAAATTACTGACTCCATGTTTATTGAACAAAGACAAATGTGCCTGAGCAGATGTCCTCAACAGGGATTGGCTAGCTGATCTAACATTCGGGCGAAATTGTCGGCTATTATATATACATACGTTTATCTGTCTATCTAATGCTTTGACAATGCATAATACTCTCGGTCAGTCTTACAATCTCTTTCTTTTTCTCTAACCATACCATCAAAGAAATACGTAAATCATATTTAATTGGGAGGACCTATTTTACCCTTCACAGCTCTCTCAAAACAACCGTCCAGTCATTTTTTCTCGTGATGAGTATAAACATATAAATTATGGAAGTGTTTATTTTCTTCACTTTTGTTTATTTGAAATTTAGTTTTGTATTTAAGTGTGACTTCAGTATTCACTCTTCATAATCTTCAGTAATCAAAACTTACTGCAGTCGTTAATGACAGGCTCTGATTATTAAATGCCTAATATAAATGAATTTCATAGTATTTTACTGTAGGAATGCTGTGAAAATCGGAAAGCTTATCCAACAGAATGTATTTTAATTTATTCTTTTCCTTATCTCGGCACAATAAGTCGATCAAAAAGCAAGCATTAAATCATGGCAAATTGCCTTTCGACGAAACACGAACTAACCTTTAATAACTTGAGAGCTTCCTTTACATAGATATCGTCTTAATATAAGCGGCTTCAATGGTAATAAAACATTTCTTGATCTGATCGTGGCTCGTAAAGCCTGTCTGTCTCTTTTCTCTTATTATTTATTTCACTTACCTTTGTTTAAGACGCAGACAAAAGTGTAGTGCAAGTGGAGGAATCCTTATACTCGGTTTTTGTTGAATGTTAAAATTTGGAGTGTCGGGATTCGATACATTAATAAAATATCGTTATAGATTCGCTCGTAATTTGACCGTCTAGAATAATCACACGATTTTCATTGAAGGAATAAAATTCAGTAGAAAAGACAACGCTGTTTCAAGAAATAAACATTAGTTTAATATAGCGGCAAGAATACAAGCAGTTGATAATATATTGGAAAGTAATGTCTTTTTGTTTAGGTTAATAAAGTTCTGAAATAAAATATAAACTCTCTCTGTGTACGTATGGGAGAAACAATAAAATGTGTGTTTGTATGAAAAAGTCAACATGTGTGTGCGTGATTCATCGTAAAGCGGATACAAGAGATAGGAATTGTTTCTTACAGTTGGCGGTGTTACCGTAGTCTGAAGTTTGTCGACGCAGTTGCTTTTATTGTATATTTTTATTTTATAGGTTGTGAAGATCATAAGCGAGAGTTGCGTGGAGTTTGGTGACAGCTGTGTGTATCCTGTTTGGGAACGGATTTCGTATGCTTTTATACACTTTTTCGTAACAAAATCTGCTCCAGAATTAAATTATTTATTCCTAATTGTCCCTAAGAAGTCACGTGGTATGTCTTCTACTACGTCCGTACGATATTTGGGCGGTATCTACCTAAAAATAATGATGACTAATACAACAAACATTCTGATTTGTAATCTATGATTTTATTGGTGTGTTTTAAGATGTAAATGTTTTCTTGAGTATGATTGGTTTATAAATATTGTATTTGATATTTTAGTAGACACGATACATATATTGAGTATCGAACTCGTAACACAAGGAATGTCCTGTGATATGTATGTGGCTTACACGGCCTCAAAACGAGGCGCCTATTTTCTCATCTTAGAAAATACGATAGCCTTGTGCCACATGATGCCCACGTGGTGGGGGTGACTAAATATAGTCAGTCGATCTCGGTCGACCGGCTGATTGCTTGAACTCTCTGCCTTCGGGCGATTTAACCTTTTTGATAGGCTACGCCGAGGGCGGAGTCTCGTTCGGGGTGTAAACCGGCCCTGAACCCGTTTATACGGGTTCAGTGTGAATATTTTTTAATGCCCACGGGCTTTTTAGATCCCACATTAAATAACCGGCCTTGTGCCATATGATGCCCACGTGGAGTGGTGACTAAATATAGTCAGTCGATGTGGGTCGACCGGCTGATCGGTTGAACTCTCTGCCTTCGGGCGGGGAGGAACCTGAAAGAGGCTACGCCGAAGGACGGATTCTCTTTCGGGGAGGTAAACCGACCCTGAACCCGTTTATACGGGTTCAATGGGCATATTTTTAGCCGAGCCCATGAGCTCGGAGATTCCATGTTAAACCGGCCTTGTGCCACATGATGCTATTTTAGGACTGACTTAGTAAATATACAATCCTCCACTGTGAAATCACTCCACAATAGATAGATAGATACCTGTGTGAATGTCGCTCTTTATGTTTTCTTTCTTTTCTCTCTCTCTCTCTCTCTCTCTCTCTCTTGTATCTATCTATCGATGTCTCAATTACAACGAAAAAAAGAAAGATAGAAGCAACTTAGCTAGATTGATATGAACAGAATAGATAGATATGAAAAGGCTGCAATAGATAGATAGATAGATAGATGGATATGAAAACGCTGAGATAGATAGACAGACAGACAGATAGATATGAAAAGGCTGAGGTAGATAGATAGATGGATAGATAGATATTAGTAGAATGTAATAGGCAGATATATATAAAAAAATAGATACGACTGGAAATGTCGTTCTTTATGTTTTCTTTCTCTCTCTTTCTTTTCTCCCTATCTCTCTCTCTGTCTCTCTCTCACACACACACACACACTTTTTTTGTATTTAAAGATGTCCAGACTACAACGCTTTAGCCGACCCGGTCTTCGGTTTGTAAAGTAGATCTCCTGTAACCAAAAATTCTTCAGAGTTGAACTGAGATGATTCTCTTTCGACATTGCCATTCGCGGCCGCATCTCGTTGTACATCATTTCATCCATGGCCTGAAATCTCTTTATTTCCGAACTTT